CACTTGTAAAAGGTTATTTTTAAGTTGCTGAAATAAATTGAAGTGAATAAGTAACTTTTATTATAACTTGACTAATATTGCTTGTTTCCTCAGTTTTGTTTAGGTCTCACAAATGAATAAATTTTGCAGTCTATTTCAAAAGTTATAATTGTCTTACTTAAAGGTCTGAATCTAATAATTAAAAAGGGTGAAAACATTCTTGTTACTGGAAGCACTGGTATTGGGAAATCGTCGCTTTTCAGAGTAATCGCACATTTGTGGAAGACCGAGCAAGGTGAATCTTTATTATTAGAATAAAGTACTATCTCATGAAACAACATTTGAGAGTAAATTTTTGATTTTAAAGTCAAAAAAACAGGCTATTTATTTGAAAGTGAACCTTTTCAGAGCAAACAAAATGTTCATTTATAATTGCAGGTTTTGTCGAACGTTATATTGACAGAAGCCGTATATTTCACCTTCCTCAACGTCCATACTTCCCCACTGGCTGTCCAACTTTGATACAACAGCTCTGCTTCCCTGATACGTTCTGCGAAGCCGAAATACCCAGAGAAGGTTGTCAAGATTTAATGTTTTATTTGTTACCTGTAATGTTTTTACATTGCTTTTCTATTCAACTTCTAGAAGCACTCTCAGTTACTATTGCCACCTAACGTAATAACGATTATTATTTTCCAACTTGCTCTTTTACAGAAGTGAACGAAATTCTAACAATATTTGAAGCGTTGAAACTACAGAAATTACTCGACCGTTGTGGCGGTTTGGACAAAACTGTGGATTTTGAATGGTAAATTAATGACTGGTTACCACTTAGTTGGAACGTACTAAACACTTTTCTTCCTGCAAGTTTGTTTTTAGGCAAGAGACCCTAACGCCAGGAGAACAGCAAAGATTGTCTTTTGCCCGAATGCTGTATAAAAGGCCGTTGTTAGCTATCCTTGATGAAGCGACCAGCAGTGTTGATATAGGCACTGAAAAAATCATGTACAAACTGCTTCAAAAGGTCACTGTTTAACCCTGAAATTATTTCTGACGTATAGTGATGCAGAAGTCAGTGAAAGCATTTAGTGCGGTAAATAGAAATCTTTCACAGGTATAGATGAAGAGAGTGACCGCAAAGGAATTCAATTATGTTTTTTAAGGCATAAGAAAATTTATTTAACTAGGTTTTCTTTTTTTTGAAATATGACGTTATTAGGTTCAATTTTACGGTGTTTTTGAAACGGCAACTTAACTCTTAAAAGCAATTTGCAACCGAAAACGCTCAAAATACTATTCAAAAATCTAGAAGATCTATTGTAGATAACAAGAATTAGTCAAAGACATATGAATTTTGACGACATTCTGATGTCGTCAAATTCTTGATGATTGTTAGTGCAATTAGCGTCTTGGTCAGATTATGTGGTTTTAGCATGAGTTACCAGTAGTATACATTAAAAATGTCTAAACAGTGTTTTGATTTTGCGTTGCTGGCAACGCAAAAACTTTTGTCGTAATCTTCGGTTAAATATCTCAATGAATGTAAAAATTTACAAAATTTAATAGAATAGTGTTTCAGTATGGAATAACATATGTGTCTGCTGGTCATCGACCTGCGTTAGCAGCATATCACACCGTTCAGTTACACTTTACTGGGGATGAAAAATACATAATTCGTAACATAACTGGTGAACGTGAATTAGACGATATTTCTTCGAGCATCACGTTTTAATTGTAAATTCCGTTTTAATAAAAACTGTTTTTTAGCTAGTTTTCAGCATGCATAAGGCAATGCACGTAATTAAGCTTGACATTCATTAACTTAGTCTCACACTACAGTAACTCATAGCTTGAAACTCTAAAATTACAAAACTGACGTCTGAATTTCTTACACTTACTGTTGGCCTAGAAACTATAAGTTCTTTTTGTGCTCTCAAAGAACACAACATTGAAAGTTTTTTGTTCAGCAACAGAAAAAAACTGAGAGCACTAAGCTGTTATCATTTACTTGAATCAGAGAATCTTTTCTGAAGTACTCGAAAAAAAAAACAACAAGTCTGAGCGTTACTGATGGATAATACAGATACTACTTTAATAAACCACTGCGGAAAGAAAATAACTTTTTTAACAGGTTAAAATTAGAAATGTCAAAATTGTGAACAGCAGAAAGATGATCTCGAATTTTACAAAAAAAAAGTTGCTTTCAAGAAAAAAGCTTAACAAACGAACAAGTAACTGGTCTTTTTTAGAAATAATAAAAGTTTATTGTAATATAGAAATAAAAAAAGTAGCAAATAATGGATACACCAGTGTAAAGTTTGAAGGTATCTGCGAAGACGTATACGAAGCGCTAAGACGCGGTGTATGCGGAAGAAAAAGTGATTTAGTTCCAACTTTGAATTGTTGAAAAAAAATTTTTTTTTGAAAGACTTATCTTTGTTGTTTTTAAAAGTTGCTATTAAATAAATTTCCTGAACTTTTTCTTCCTTTTTTTTTTTTCAAGCTTCACTTTACTCTCTTTAACACTGTTACAAACACACACTTTATGAAAAGCAACACGATAATTCTCTTCAAAGGATCACTCTTACACAGTCTGACAGATACACCACAGTTTATTGGTGCATTATACAGACAGTCTATGAAAATTCATATAGGATAAAAATGTGTAGTGAAAATATGAAAAAAAATTGCTTTTGAACATATCTCATTATATTTCTATAAAATAAGTAATCTTTTCTTGTAAGGTGCTTGCAGAAGCGTAAATAATACTGAAAGCAAAAAATAAAAAAGAAAAATAGAGCATAAGATTAACAAAATTTATTGTTAAGCTGTCGAAGTTTTTGAAATTCCAACATCTTCTGATTTGTTCTAAGTTCTTCAAATTTTCTTCAACAGCAAATCAGGTATCTTTCTAAATATTTTAAAACCAACTTGACTTCAAATCGTCTTTCTTCTTTAACGCTTCAAACCAGTTGTACTATCATTTTGTGTTTTTTAGAGCTAAATTTCAAAAAGTCTGCTTAGATGTACGTTGATTACAAAAAATTTACAAAAACAGTTACAAAAAAAAAGCCATAAATAAGGTAACAATAAGCAACGAAATGTACAAGCATTTAACCTGATATGATTCCTTGAACGTAATTCTAAACTATTTAAATTTTTTTAGCACTGTCATCAGAAGGTGGCCTTCAGCAGATCAGCAAAAATATGACAACAAAGTCATTAATTTTACTACTTTAAAAGCTTTATTTTATGTAGTTTTTTCAAAAAAAAAGAAACTTTTCGATGATATAAAAAGTTTTCGAGATTTTTTTTTCACTTGTAAGTCTTTAATGCATAAAAAAACTGTATAGCATTCAGAAAACGAGCAAAAAAAGAGAAGTTTTTATAAAGTACAAATTTAAAAGTTATAACATCGACTACAAATGTCTTGAGTAAACACTCAGTTGTTCCATCAACCTGTCAGTTTCGTTATATAAAATGAATACACATAAAAAAAGAGAAAAATTATTATTTAAAACTTGCAAAAAAAAAAAATTTATAAAAATTATAGCACTTTTTCAGTTCAAATATTTTCTAAACAGTTATAAAAATAATACAGATTAAAACTTTTTTTTTTTTGCAGAAGACTAACAAATCATCAATATATTGATAACAGTAATTCAGAAAGAAGTAAGACAAACAGTTTTTTAAAATTGTTAAAATTGCAAAAATTACTGTTGGTTGTAAAAGACAGACAATGTTCCACATTTTCAGTGCAGGTTTACTTCTGTGGTTTTTGTGTTTCTTTTTTTCTCTATAAAAGCCAAAAAAATAATTCAAAAAAAAAAATTTTTTTTTTAATTTTATACTTTAGACTTATTTGATCAATCGAACAGAAGAAAAAATAGTTTGTTCTTGAAAATTTCTTTTCTGTGACATCAAAATTTGTTTCTGACATTTTGAATAAAATTATATTTTACATCATCGTTCGGCAATCAAATTAGTCTAATTTTTACCCCGTATAGTAATAAACTTTTCAGAAGATGTCATCTAGGCAACACTAAATTGTTCCTTCTCTCTACTAAAAACGGATTGTTGCAAAAGTTTCTGTCTCATTTCAAATAACTGAAAGTCAAAAAGACGAAACATCTATCAGGCAAAATTTCATTGATTAGTTCAAAATTTAATTTTTAAGCTATAATAATGAAAGAAATAAAGCTAATTTTTAGCCTTTTGAGTACCGCTGTGAACAAACGTCAGCCGTTAGATGTTTTTTGTGGTTGGTTTTTAAATAACCTTTCAGTTGCGGTCTTCAACACTGTAATGTCGAAAAATGAGTTCTTTATGAGGATTATTGTAAAACAAAATTTCTGCTCATATTTTTTTAGAACAATACTCAGAAAGGCTTTAAATGAAAAAGGTACCTAGATCTAGTTGTTAATAGCCAACATCGTACCAGCTCTTTCCAATTACATTAATATTCTCCACAACGAAAACAGCACCAGCAGTATCGTCGTAAAAAAAAAAGAAACAGAAAAGAAAACAAGAAAATATCACCATGTTTCAACGTCGTTTGCTTCAATCATAAGAAACACATACAGAGCAGACAGAAAACGATAAGAACATTTTATTGTTAGCACGGTGCATTTAGCTCAGTTGACTAAACAGTATCCGAATCAGAATTACAACACAAACCGGGAGTCAGTTTTGCGTCTTCTGATGTTTATAAGTACCTCTAAAGACTTCCCGGTGAAGACTTTGATTACCATAACTCAATCCTCTTCGACTTCTTCCCGGTGCTCATTAGAATCTTCTGTTGCGCCAGCCGAATCACTTTTAAAACGATTGGTTTTCTTCAGGTTTCTTTTTGCTGAAGTCCAAGTTTAGCAAAAATCTTTATAAGCTCTCTGCGCTAAATTATAAATGGTTTACTATAAAAACTTGATCTTAAAGTTTTTTGTTTCCAAAGATTACTTCCAACAGCCAGTGTACTATTCTTTTTTCTCCCGCTGTACGCTTCTGTTCAAACCTTCTCTGATGAAAATTTTTTCCTGAATTAGTTCTATTTGTCAGCCGATTTCTCTTTGGTTTACTACCTGCATTATCTGGACAGTTGTAATGTGTTTAACCTAAGTCCAGAACGCTGGAGGAAACAAGAACCTGAGTTTAAGAATAAAAACTAGACAAAAAAAAAAAACAGTTTTTGGCGTAGTAACCATCCTTTAAACTTCTTTTTCTACTTTTTCACTTTCTTTTCAGCTTTCTAGAAACTGCTAAGAAAAATCTTGCACTAGTAAAAACCTTACTTCTAAAACTAAAATGTAAAAAAATTTTGTATTTTTTTTGCGTGCATCACAAACAAAGGAAACGCCTCTCAGAATGTTACAGTAGGCATTACTTTAGAGTGTCTGAGTAAAATCACTTTAAATTGAAGAAAGACTTGTTTATAAAGACAATTTCCCTCTTATTTTTGTTAACGCCTTTGTGGGCATTGCTAATCTCACTTCATCTCTAAGACAATAAAGCTACAGACGGCTGTCAGAAGATTAGATTTAAAGTACTTTTGAGAGCTCCAACGGCAACAACTACAGTGACGAAAGTTTCAGAATGGTGACGGCAACGTCGCCTGCAACATCGACCGGTAGACTAGTTGTCTTAAGAATGTCAACTTGCTTCAGTTAACCCATTGACGTTTGGAATAGCTAGTCAGCTGGTTCCAGTAGATAACACCAATCTGTCAACAACAGCGTCAACTTCATCCTGATCACCAAAATTCAGATTTGATACAACACAAGTATTATAGGTAACATTTGCCAAAGCGAATTTCCCCAAAATAATCACCAACACAACAGTTCAAAAATTTTACTTTTATTATTTTTATCTGCTGATTATGCGTGTTTTCTAGTAATTAAAAAATTGTTTGATTCTGTTCTGTACGGCAATGTATATTTTAATTTTCGGAAATTTAATTACAATGATCAAACGAGCAAACTGACTTACGTATCTAATCTTTTTGAGGAACACATAAACATCAGTAAAGTATATGATTCACCAACGCGTTTAAGAGGCAATGCGTGATGACAGCTTGCAATAAACGATGATTTGGGAAAATACGTATAGCACAATATAAGTTGTATTACGATGACACTTCGCTCTCAAGTAAAATATAGAAAATAACAATAAGATGTTCAGAAACTCAAGTTTTAGATAAAAGTAGACAACCTTAAGAACAATTTTATGCTACAGCAGCATTTGCACTTAATAAATCAAAGACGGAAGTGAGCAATGAAGTAATGGTAGCGGCTATGCAGTACTGCTTCACTTACCTGCCTCTACCTTTATGTTTCACCTTCAGTCGCTGACTGACCCGAACCTTTTCTTTATAATGGTCTCCATTCCTGTATCGTTGTTTCTTTCTTCCGGTTTTTCAGTTAAAAACTCACTAGCCAATTAACGCACTGGAGTCTTCAGCGTAAAAGTTCGAGAAAATTTCAATTTTGTGCGGTATATTGTACATTTATAAAGTTGAAAATGTTATTTTTGGGGAACAGCTAGTGAGTAATATTTAAAAAAAAGGTAAAAAATAGTGAAGAAGAAAAGTAAAAGCATAAAAAATTTTACTTATTTTTTGTACAGCATATTACAGCACGTTAGGTAAATATGTGAAACTCCTTACAAGATATCACGCGTCACTGTTGATTCACCTATCACTTAACAGTCCATAAAGATAGTTATAACAACTTTTAACATTTCTTTTAAAAAAATGATATAAATAGGCGCCGAACTATCACGTATTCGCTCGGCATTGTAAACCACCGTAATAGACTTGTGAAGCCTCGTGTCATGAACTGCTATTTCTCGCTTTTTGGTAAGCTGTTTTTTTCTCTTATTCTGTTATAACTTCAAATTATGCGCTTATTCTTTAGCGCAAGAGTAAATTGATTCTCTAAATTACAATACGTGGCGTTAAACAGTAACCGCCTCAGATGACATATCAATTTCATCTATCAGTTTTACTAGAAATTTCGCTTCTGTTTTTTCATATTTGAAAAAAATTTTCATTTATGATTTGAAAAAAGTTTTTCTGAAGTTTATGGAGACCTGAGTTTACATCTGAAGCTTCTAAGAAAAGACTTTGAGTGTTCCAATCTCTATACCTTATAGTGAGACAGATTTGGTTTATTTCAAAAGTATCACTCGTAATTTAACCTTCTCAAAGTGCATTTAGAAAAGACGAAAAAGAAAAGAAAATTTGAATTTTTTTGCTTTTTCAGTTTTTCAATCAACCATTCTGTTGCGCACCAATTAGCACACAGCCTTAAAAAAAAGCGAAAAAGTATCTTATTGTTAATTGTTGTCATTAAGTTTACGATATGTAGTCAAAGTCACAAGCATTCATTTCTTGTACCAGATTATTTCCTTAATTAGCAATTTTGAAGAAATTGAACTCATACGAGATGCGACAAAAGATAAAACTAAAACGCAACTGTGAAGTAAAGTACGACGATGCAACAAATTCCACAAAAAAAAAAAAAAAAATTTGATGCAGAAAGAAGTTCTGATCTTTGTGTTTTTCTTTGACAAAATTATAAACTTACTTCAATACAGATTGACTTCTAAAAATAGAAGCAGCAAGAATCACTACAAAACTGATAATGTAGCATCAATTCTACATAAAGATGCAATTTTCTTAAGGTCAAAGAAGATGCTATAGGAAGTTTTTAAATGCTTCATGTTGCTAAAATTTTTTCATAAATAATGCTGTGTTTTTTGATAAAGCGAACATCATTACAAAGATATCACAGAATAAAATGCAGTAAATCTTCATATACAAATTTTTAATTTTTCTTGTAACGTCTTAAAATTGTAATTTAGCGTCATCGCGCAGCAACATTAAATTTTTTTTTAAACTACACTTTTGAACTTTTGACAAAACTTTCGTCTAGCAATATTCTTTTTCTAACTTTTCAAAAGTCTACGTAAATTACTCCAAAGACAAGTTATCAAGTTTTCAGCTTTGCTTCGTTCAGATAAACTACATAAAAATACAACTTTACAACTCTTCCTTTCTTATCTGTAAAAAACAGGCTTCTGATTTAGTAATGCATTTTTGACTCTCGAGGATTTTCTCTGACGAATTAAGCAAAATGTTAACTCTTTTCCTTATTTCCTTTTTTTTTGCTCGACAAAAAAAGCAGTCGTTTTTCAACTTTTTATTCTAGCGATTTAGAAAGCCTGCAAAATCATAGTATTATGCATCATTAAACAGGATATATAACTGAACATTGACTTCTACTGCTTCAACTTAAGAATAAATCTTGAGTGAGTAAAAAACTATAAAAAACTAAAGTGATGAAAGACAAGTGTAACAATGTTACTCGTAAAATTGCATATCTGACGAAGCAATAACTGATAAATTTTTTTCATTTTTGAAAGTCTAAAACGGAAAAAAAGTCTCCTGACCAGCAAGTGTGGTCTGCTTTGTTATTATCTAGTATCATCTTTCACTTGGTCACTTTGGTGTAAGACTTTATAAATTTTACAGATATTATGACTCTTACGAAAAAGCCGAGCATTAAAGTTGGAAAAGAAGTTATATTAGCAAAAAGTTCTAATTAAGAGACTAAAACTTTTTGAACTTGAATTATGTAAAAAAAATTTACTTAGTAAATGCACCCTATCCACACAGCAGACAACTTTGTAAGTGCCAATACCAGTAAAACGTCTTTTCCTGAACTTCTGAATTTGTTTGCGGAGGATACCATGTAAAGCTTTTTCTTTACTACCTGCATTCCAAGGCATGCATTTATGAACTAGAACGTTTTTGGCACCACTAATCTACATTCACTATGTACTGCATCACTTTTAACATTCTGAAAATTTCAGTCATAGCAACCGCTTTGCTAATGACTACGGTTGCTCCCGGTGTTGCTGAAGAAGGAACGAAAAAAATAGCATCAGATGGACAAACGACAATGGTGACGTTTGAGTCATTAAGCAATGCAACGATTGTCCGAAGCACAACACCAACAGCGAAACCATTTACTAAAGACCTATCAACAACCGAAACAGATTTTTTGCCATTTTCAGAAGTAACAACAAAGTCAGCTTCACCTTTTTCAACAACTTCTGATGCTTCAGGTTGCTAAACTTTTTTCATAAATAATGCAGCGTTTTTTGAAAAAGTGAACATTAGTACAAAGATATTATAGAGTAAGATTAAGATGCAGTAAATCTTCATATACAAATTTTTTGTTTCTCTCATAACATTCTAAATTTGTAATTTAGCCTCATCGTGCAGTAACATTGAGTTTTTTTAACTACACCTTCAAACTTTTAGCAAAACTATTCTGCAGCAGTATTCTCTCTCTAACTTTCTGAAAGTCTGCGTTAATTACTCCGAAGACAAATCATCGAATCTTCAGCTTTGATTCGTTGAAATAAACTACATACAAATACAATTTTACAACTCTTCGTCTTCTATCTGTAAAAAAACAGGCTTCTGATTGAGTAAACTCATTTTTGACTATTGAGGAGTTTCTTTGACGGATTAATCAAAATGCTTATTGTTTTCCTTGCTTTCTTTTTTTTTGCTTAGCAAAAAAAACAGCCATTTTTAACTTTTTATTTAAACAACTTAGAAAGCTTGCAAAATTATAGTATTATACTTCGCTGAACAGGAAATATGACTAAACATTGAATCTTTCTGTTTAAGTTTTAGTGATAAAGATAAACTTTGAATGAGTAAAAAACTATAAAAAACTAAAGTGATGAAAGACAAATGTAACAATGTTACTTATAAAATTGAATATCTGACGAAGGAAAAACTGATAAAATTTTTTCATTTTTGGAAATCTAAAATGGAAAAAAAGTCTTCTGACCAGCAAGTGTGATCTGCCCCGTTATTATCTAGTATTATCTTTCACCTGGTCTCTTTGGTGTAAGACTTTTTAAATGTTACGGATATTATAACTCTTACAGAGAACAAAGCAATCTAGTTGGAAAAAGTTATATTAACAAAAATTTTTAATTAATAAAGTAAAACTTTTTATACATAAATTATAAATTATAAACAAAAAAATATTTACTCAGTAAATGCAGGCAAATCACAAAGCAAAGAACTTTGTTAATGCCAATACCAGTAAAATGTCTTTTCCTAATCTTCTGAATTTCAATGAAACACATTTGTTTGCGAAGGATAGCATAAAGGTTTTTCTTTACCAGCTGCATTCTAAAGGCATGCATTTATAAACTGACATGTTTTTGGCACCACTAATTTACATGCAGCATATACTGCATCATTTTTAATGATCTAAATATTTTAGTTATGACAACCACTTTGCTAGTGATTACAGCTGCACCCAGAAGTACAACAGTTGAACCAACGACAAACATAGCATCAGATGGACCAACGACAATAGCGACGAATGCGTCGTTAAGCACTGCACCGGTTGACCGAAGAACAACAGGAACAGCAAAACCATTCACTACGCCAATTACCTTATCAACAACCAAAACAGATTTTTTACCGAGATCGACAGAAACAGGAGAGTCAGCTGTACCTTTACCAACAACTTATGATGCAGTAGAAACAGATTTGACGACACCAATTTCTGGTGCAGCTACAAAAATATATTACTTTAATTGCCCCTTTTTGGCAATTATTTGCGTTTTGATGATTATCTTAACCTGATTTTTATTGTTCTTTAATTTGATTTTATCTTTTTTTTTCTCATAAATTTTGATACTGCAGAGCTTATCTGTGGTTGATAAACAAGCTTATCAATTTACATACTTTTCATTTCTGAGCAAAACACAAATATCACTGAAGTATGTGATTTAACAACATATCAAAGTTGTATACAAGAATACTTGCAGCATAAGACAATTTACACTACGCGAACGCTACGCTTCACTACATATAGCGAAAAACAATAAGAAAACAATAAAAACTTAAGAAAGAAAAATTTTGAACGAAGTCAGACAAAGGGTCTTTGTTTTTATGGCTATTTACAACTTTGCGACTTTCTGATTTTCGCTGTGTGACTTAGATAGGTCATAACCGATTAATAATTAAAGTTTTTGTTCTCCTAGTATTTTAAAATTGAGACAATGTTTTCACTTGCGCAAGTATTGCAAATCGTTGAACTCATGTAAACTCTTCAATTCGTTAATATTAATTTTAATCACTTTTTGTCAAGAAAATCTTGAATATGTACTTTGCTCTGATTTTTCAACAGTATAAATTACACTGTTTACCGAAACAAAACTGCAAGTTTTAGTTATCAGAGAAGCCAATTAGTTTCTTATTAAAAAGTTTCACAACACTCTTCCGAAATTTTAAGTTCGCCTCAGAAAACCGCTATGCGTCAATCATTTGTGAGGTTTATCAGTTACTGTTTGTTGCACTATGGTAAACTTAGATTCAGTCACCAATTCAACTGAGTTTACATAAAACTTTCCTCAATGCTGCCACAAGTACCAATGATTCGTTAGCTAAAGCTTTGGCTATTTAAAAACACACGTCACATGCGCTTGTTCATCGAGCTAGCACTGAACTTGCCTTGTTTAAGTTACAATATCGAATACAATTAATGTGCTGGGGCATTACAAAGATAACCAAATAAATAGAAAGTATAAATGCTGAAAAATAATAATAATAATAATAATAATAATAATAATAATTTACAATAATAATAATAACAATAACAATAATGGTAATAATAATAATAATAATAATAATAATAATAATAATAACGATAACAATAACAATAATAATAGTAGCAATATTAATAATAATTACAATAATAATTTTTGGCAATGGAAAGCAATTGTTTATCTTTTTTCAGATCCGTATAACGCTGCCAAAAAAAAACTAAAGTTTTGAATCTAAGAGACTAAAACAAAAATAAGGTATAAAAGTAGACATCTGTCACCATCGTTATAATTATCGATTGTCTCAAAGAACATCGTCACTGTTTATCAAAATTACACGAACTAAAAGAGCTTTTGTTTAAAGAGATTGTATTACAGAATAAATCTTATTGGTATAAAAAAATTAGCAAATGTTGAACTAATAAGTGTAATACATAACTTATACTGG